AAAAAAAATCACTGCGAAAACAAAAGAAAATCCAACTATATGAAATATGAATATACTAAAATTTTCCACCTCAAAAGAAAGAAAAAGAAAAGGGAAAAACTGTATATAGGAAATCAAACTGTTTTTTAAAATCAACCGGTAGACGGCGGGTAAGGACTAGAATGCGACCACGGCGGCACCGGGAAATCCGAGCCGGCGGTCGGCGTCTGACTTGGATTCGGATTCTGGCTCTGTTGCGGCCGGTAATAACCGGATTGCTGCTCACCCGCGAAAAGCAGGGGAAATGAAGCAGAGGAGGAAGAAGAAGGAGAAGGAGATTGAGCGCGAACCGAAGGTGGAGAAGTCGTCGACGGCAATGAGGCAAACGGCAGAGCCGGTGGAACCTGCGAGCTGTATAGCAACTGTTCTAATAGCGACGATGGCTGCTGCTGCTGCTGAAATCCACCGCCACGGCCGCCCGCGGTGGAGGAACTCTGCAGTAACTGGGAGTATTGCCAGTAATCCCTCACCAAATCCGCCTGTGCTGAGGCAGCGCCGACGCCGGTGCCTGAGCAAATCCACGGAATTGAGCGGACGGCTGCGGCGGAGCAGGATTGAGGCGGGAACGATTTGGCGGGCGGCGGCGGCGGAGGATGGGCATTGATATTCAGCATTGGCGGCTGGAGAAGGCGGACGTTTTCCGGGAAATTGAGCTTGGCTCTGCTTCCCCTGAATCGGAGGGCGGCCTCGTCGTATGCTCTGGCTGCGGCCTCCGCCGTGTCGAATGTCCCCAGCCAGACCCTCGCCGCCTTGTGCGGGTCTCTTATCTCCGCCGCCCATTTCCCCCACGGTCTCTGCCTCACTCCTCTGTATCTCCTCCTCCTTTCACCTCCCTCGCCGCCGCCAGACTCCGTGGAAGCCGGCGAGGCTGCCGCCGCCGTAGGGATCGCCTGTGAATTAGATGAGTCCTCTGCTTGGGCTGTATCCAGAGATTGGAATGTGAATCAGAAATCAACATAAATCAATTTAATATAGTATATATTCATAATTAATTTTCATCGCTTTGAAGCAAAGATTTTGAGATTCCCTTTTCTAAGTTCTCTCTTTTTCCTTGCCCATGGTATTGCAGAAAATAACTGTTCCATTGGTTTAGGCAAGGCTAGCAATAATACGTTAACAAAACGTACAGAAAGAACTGTATCAAATATCAACGTATAAACCTTTTTCATTGTATTGCGTATACTAAATTGGTAGACCGAAATTGATTTAAAATGTATAAAAACTTGCTTCGTACATACGGTGGCGTAGTCAGAAATTTAAATGAGAATGAATTAAACATTTACGTATATAGAATCTAAACTCATCATGGATCAAACCTTATCGGCTACTATATTTTGTCAATTTAATTCAAAATTTACATATAAAGGATTAGCTCTGTCACGAATGCTAATTGAATAATCAAATTTCATTCTAATTGCATTCTAATGGTGTACATTTATAAAAAAAAATATTTATCCCAAAAATTTGAAGTGGGAAATTTTAAAAGAGAGATGTATTTGAATTATAATTACATACGTATACGTATGTACTAAGTAAATTATCTATTCCAAAAATACGAATTCTAACTTTAGAAAACAGAGCAGAAAACAGGGGAAGAAGAAACAGAGTAACAAAGAAAAGGGAATTTACCAGTTGCACCACCAGAAGAGGAAGAATCGCCCCCACGAATCAAATCACGACCGAAACCTCGAAATTTCCTTTCTCGCTGCTCCATCAATTGAGCGACGGAAGCCGTCTCATCTTCTCTCTCCCTCTTCTGACCGACCGCCGTCCACACCCCTGCAGAGGAACCAGAGCCAGCAGAGACCCCTGAAGAAGTACTCGATACCTGCGGCGGCGGCGGCGACGATGCTGTCGCCGCTATTCCACCGCCGGAGCCCCATCTTCCGGTCCGGAGACGACATGGGTGAGAGCCGAAACCATGGCGGACATATCTCTGGCGCTTCGGTGCCCGGAAGGAGCATCAATCTTCATCATCAAATTCCCCTGATCCCCCGGCCCCGCAGCTTGCTGCTGATTCGGATTGGGATGGCTGAATTCGAATTGATGACGGAGATGGGCAGGAGCGAAATCTTGTGGGGTGTTCGGAAGCGGCAAAAAGGCTTCATCTTTTTGTCGATTACTGCTACTTTCAGCAGCATCCTGATCGCCGCGGGGTAAGAAGAGGAGGAGGAAGAAGTGAAAGGGGGAAAGTAGCTATCGCCGCCGCCGCTGCTGCCGCCTTGTTGGTCCGCCACCTTCACGAACAAGCACATGAACTAATAATAGATGTTGATTCGAAGCACGAAGAAGACGACCACCAAACCAACTATCATATAAAAAACACCCCCTCAAATTCTCCTTTCTCTGCCGCTCGTGGGTCTTGAATTTCCTTTCTTTTTCAATTTACTTTTCCTTTTGGTGGGGGTATGAATTGTTTTTGCGTGAATGAAATTGGTTTGTGATATAAAATGGAAGAGGTGACCCCTGGTTGAAGTTAACGGCAGAGAGAGAGAGAGAGAGAGAGAGAGAGAGAGAGGAGGGTGGAAGTGGAAATGTTGAATATGTTGTTTTGTTCGTGTGTGTTAAGGATATATATGGATTTGGGAGAGAAAGATGTATGAAATTCTGATTCGAAGAATTCAGACTAGACCAGCCTTGAAAAAGCCAAAGCCCAGCCCAGCCCATGCAGCCAGCCGCCACGAAAACAGTTCTAGAGAACATGCCATTTTTTTTTTAAAGTTTACATATATTTATTTGGATAATGGCTTGAATAGTTATTTTTTCTTCTTGTTTTTAGAAGTTAGAGAAAACATGTTTATTATGTTCAGTTGCTCACTAGTAGATTTTTTTTTAATCAGATATCATTAAGAATACGAATAGGCTAAGTCCAAACGGAAAAGTGCAAGCCACATAACGGTAGAATTGAAATAGAAACTCAAATATAAGGTCAAACAAACAGGCCCAGTACCCAATAGGGTCCTGACCCATGACCAAAACATGCAAAAGTACTCCCAACACTAGTCGTCAGAGCCCCCCTCTGCTCTCTTCTACCGCCGCGGTCGAGATCCATCGCCGCCAAAGATCACAACACGCCTCCTCCTCCCACCAGCAGTCGTGAACCCGGAAGACAGGATGAGGACGCATTTAACCATCCCCACTCCGAGTCAATCAACAGAAGCTTCCCGCCGACAACACCCAATGAAAACATCTGATCAACTGGACGGTCAACAAAAGAGACAAAGGGTTAAAATACTTCCGCCTTCAAGCTCTCTCAACCGCGTCCAAAGCCAGAGGCCACGTCTCCCGATCGTCAAGATCTGCAAAACGAAACAAGGAAGTAGACGAGGGAGGGGAGAGGAGAAAACAAGCAAGATCTATAAAAGATTTGGCCTCCTTCGTATCTTAGACAAGGAACACATTTCCAGATATGGGAAGACCAAATCAGAGGCCAAAAGACTCCACTAGCAGATAGTAGCGCACTCTCCCGCGCAAATGACAATAACAGTGGGCCATAATAGAAATTTCACTCTGAAGTCCATTATAGTTCATTCTGAGAATTGTCAGGCCTCCTACCAAAATTGGAAAACAAAGGATTTGACGCCCTCTCCTAACCCCATAAGTCACCGGTACCGCCGACCACACCTCCTCTCTCACTACCTCCATCTCAACTCTTCATCTCGATCTTCGCTATACCACCAGCCACCGCTCCCAAAAAGTTTTCTGCATCTCCCTCTGCTTTTATTTCTCTGCTAGATTTTGCGATAGCTTCCTGGATTTCTTAATATTTTTTCGTTCGTTAGTTTAATCCTGGTTAATCTGGCCAAATTATGATGTTTCGGTTTCTGGGTTTGAACCAGTTTGTTGAAAGATGATCCGGATCTTAGTTGTATGATCCATCATTGTTTTGCAATTTGGCGATATCGAGTTAAGAGCATCCACGTAACTGGCCCAATAACGTTGTTGTGTTTCAGGGGCCCATCTTGAACCCCCCCCCCCCCCCGAAGAAACAAACAGAAGGCAGAGGTTAGTTTCTGACCCAATGTACAAAAGTGTCATCGAGGTAGGTTAGGAGGGCACGTACTCTTTGCATGATATACCCAACTCGATCTCATGCTATTTTGATTTCCATCTCTATTGGTGTGACTCAACGATGCCGGTCGACTACTTTCTATACATAAGAGGAGATGATCGTGTTCGAGTTTGATAAGATAAGAGTGAAAATTGGTTTCAGTTCATGCACCTGCTTCGGATCTCGATACGAGTCTCGACGGAGCACTATGTATGCAAATGCATTGCTATAAGGGCTATAATGTATGTACGTAGTCTGCAGTGAACCTGTCAATAGAAATTGGTTTTTGTTACATGTTGCGGTGCTCGTCTGCTTCAACGTCCTCTTCTTCTCTGGCTTTGTTGCTTTTGTGAAATCCATCAACTTCCGGTGAAGATGAGTAGGATGGTAATCAACACCCTCTACCAATAAATAAAACATGATTCGCCACGTGGATAGATCTTTATGGTCGCAAGCCCCACCTTTCCTTAGTATATCCATTTTCCACTCTCTCCTCTATATAAACCCCACTCCCCATTTCACCTAAACTCCATTTCCATCCACTTTCTCCCTCTCACGTTTCACCACTCTTCGGTACCAACAAAATACAACAAAATCATATTTGAGACGACCACCACCATCAGATCCTCCGTCCTACAATCGATATCAGCCATGGCAAGCGTTGGGTCCACGCCCATCGGAGGGACAAAGTTCGAGGCTAAGATTACTCCGATCGTCATCCTCTATGGCAGCCTCATGTTTGGCTACAATGTTGGTGTCTCAGGTAACGTACCTTAATTTACCCAATAATAATATCTCTTTTGTAGCATCACGGAGTGCCTGCATGCATGCTGGTAAAAAATTTTGGGTATTTTTTAAAATTATACAAATCCGGGACCTCCAACCCCATTTGCTTTCTGATTCTCTCAATCTGCCTTTGAGGCAATTTCAATACCTGGGTCATCTCTCTTCTCCGATTCTCAATTCGTGTATCCGTGTCATTCCCCTGCATTGGTAATACTCTTTTTTGTTGTGATTCAGTCATTTATTCATTCCCCTATTCCCCTTCTGTATCTTTCTGGTTCGACTTTCTCATCTTAGTTCACTTTCTAGCTTGCAGATCAACATGTTTTCGTTAGTCATCTTTATTTTTTTAGCCGTAAGTAATGGTTGATCTTTGTAGAGATATAGTTTCTCTTATGCAATTATATATGGTATGTGAATCGTGATTTTTGGTGAGTGCTCTTTTGTTTTTTCGAATTCGAGTTTCAGATTGTTATATATGGTGACTGCGGTTGGGACTTCTGGGCCAGGCGTCACTCTCCAAGTGACAGGCGGCGACATGCAAAGTTTAGTGTTAGGAGATATATAGCAAAGTTGTAATATGATGGAAAACAGTATGTTTTTTTTTTGGGATTTTGGACAGGTGTCGGCAATGTAGGCATTTTCAGCTTGAAACCCACCTTTTATATATAGGTACTAAAAAGAAAAATATATGACCGAAAATATTCAAATTCACAAAACGATAATGAAAGGATCTTACCTGTTACTTTATTGCTAACTCAATTAGTAGTTTTAGCAAGGAGTTGAAATCAAAATATTATCTATATGGTAAGCTGTTAGATGAGGGCAATCACATAGATCAAGTTATCAAACGCAACAAAAGTAGTTCAAGCAAGGAGTTAAAGGATGACAATAAGAATATCACATTTCTCGACCACTAGACCAATAGAAAAGCGAACTAACAATAGAAAAGCATCATTTGCCACTAAGAGGTTTGTTAGAGGGGTATAAAATGTCGATATCGTGAAACGCACAAGCAAACAACACTGAAACACCACCAGCATGAACAACCAGTGCTATAGTGTTGAGATTCGTATATATATAATAACTCCCCTTCCTGTGATATATCTTGTACCCTGCAAGGTTGAACGACATAAATCGCGATATATGCTTTCACTATTTATTAATTTTTTCATGGTATATGTACCTTTAATCGAGAGGTCAATAACAATCCAAGCACCAAACAATGAAAATTGTATGAAGTAGTTTATTCCTAATTATATGATTATGAATCTCAATATATAGAGGAAACATCTAGACGAGGGACATCTACATCGAAATTAACCTTGAGTAACTTAATAGACGAGAGGGTAATTAAGAGGATGCACAATGAGTTTTTTAAAACTCATAAACTTGTTATGTATATATACAATATACACACAAGACATTGATAGCATAAGCTAAAAACCATCATGTTTCGCAGGTCATGATGACTTTAACTCTCGATTTCAAATACCGACAATGAGAATGGAAACTAGAGAAGAAACAATTATGAAGTACTAATAGCCGTAGGATTAAGTTCTAAAGTGGTTTCTAGGTGGTAGAAAATTGAGTTAGATTAATTTGTCTCTCTAAACCAACAATAGGCAGAATATACAGATTCGGTAGTAAAACTCCATGCATCTACATGGATGCTTACTACTACTAGGAAGTAAGACGTACCATCCATATTGTTAAGGGTTTATCATGTGGGTTTAGGGCTTCCTCAAGCATATGGCCACGTGTGCCGACTTATGCCATGGTCACACTCAAAAAGGGTTTTGACCCAGTTCTCTGAATTTGGTCAGAAGGTACAACCCACAATGATATTATTTACTTGGTGGTGGATTTTCCAGTAATATTTGTAGTCAGAAGCAAGTAATTCATTTATTTTTGTCGGTAATGAAAAAGGGACGAACCAAATGTGGGGGAAATGAATTCGAGAGAGTTCAGTATGGAATTGGATTTCTATAACCGACAAAGGCCTATGTAAGAATGCTTCAAACTCTTTCTTTAACATTCAGTTAAATGTTAATCATGTGGGGGATCAAGTTTTGCTACACATGTTCCTTATTATTATTTCCTTCAACCGTCGTAGATAACATAGATCCGATCTCCAGTACGTTTGATGGGGGATTGACGTCGTCGCCGTCTAGATAAAAGGAAGATTTGTAGATCCGATCTCAGCTATGTACGTGTAGTTAGGGCTGGGAAACGGTGCGGTCTGGTCCAGACCAGATCATATATACGGTCTACGGTCAGTGGCGTAGCCAGGATTTCGTATAAGGTGGGTTCACCTGAAAAAAATAAATTTATAAAATAGTTTTTTAATATAATCTTACGTTGAAAACTTTTGATAAATTAAAATGTATTAGCAGTCGAAGATATCAAGAATATCACTTT